AAACTTATTTTTGGTTTAACGCTTTAACAGAAAATTAAAAACTTGACCCGAAAATAAAATTTTTATGAGGGGAGGGTGGGGAAGATCCGGACTCGGAGACACGGGCCAGTCCGGATATTCCCAATATCGCATGGAAAGGGCGATATCGTATCGCGATAGGTCCTATGACCGTCGTCTGATCTCCACGTGACGCCTCAACATTGTCCGAAATCCTAGTGACGCCTCAATATCGTCCGATCTCCTTTTGACGTTCTCTGCAGCGCCACCTTCTTTCAATTGCAAGTTAAATAACATTGGCAGCAGAGAAAAAGTAAAAATTGCAATGTGTTCTTAAAAGATCAACGAGGACATAGCATTTTTTACTTTTTCTCTACTGCCAATATTGTTCAGCTCGCAATTGAATGAAGGCGGCATTGCAGAGAACGTCAAAAGGAGATCGGACGATGTTGAGGCGTCACTGTAAGATCGAACAACGTTGAGGCGTCACGGGCAGATCAGACGACCTTCATAGGACCCATCGATCGGCTCAACTCAACTATGGCAAACACATCCCTGTTTTTAAAAATTGAGATCTTTATTAACATATTCAGGACAGCGGTATGGTGGTCTAAAAACCCCTCAAAATATATGGAGAGAGCAAAAAGTCAGCAACTAACATTCTGCACCCATGCACCCAATGGATAATTAAAATTCACTGTATGACAACGTTGACTACGGGTTCTGCTCTTTTCGTGTTTTTTTTTTTTTTTTTTTTTTTTTTTTAAATTTTGCGTACATTATTTCCTAAAACTACGAAAAGCTTTTCCCCCTTGATTCTTGCAGCCGCCAGTGCCCGAGCCTCTTCCGTCCGTGGTGGACGCTAAAATGCCGACGCCCGGCTGCCTTCAACTCAACCGTCAACCCTCGGACATCGTCGGAAGCGAGGACTGCCTCACTCTTCAGATATTCACGCCAAACGTAATATAAAACTCAGTTCAAGTTACGTGCTTTAAGAGCGGCCCACACTGTTAAAACCTTTCGAAGAAAAATGCCTAATCCTTCGTAGGTGCAAAGGATTTGCCATTTTGCTTCGTAACTTTTTAACTGTGCACCAGAACCAGAGTCGCTGCACCATGCATACTTTGATTAAGAAAACACGCGAAGTCGTCGTGTCCGTGCAACAACATCCTATCTGTTTCGCTCAGCCGCAAGACCATCCTATCTGTTTCGCTCAGCCTCAAGACCATCCTATCTGTTTCGGTATGCCGCAAGACCATCCTATGTGCCTTTTTGGGGTGTTTTGAGTTGAACATACCTTCTTTTACATTTTAACACGACGCGTCTTTCTCATTTTATAATTTTTCTTTTTAAAAATAGAGAAATGAGGCAATTTGAACAAATTGAAAGTATCCTAACTGCGGTCGGGTGGCGCGTTAGACGTTCAAAGTTTTCTGAGTTGACACTCAGAAGGACAAATTTGTAAATTGACATCGAAGTTGATACGAAGTGCTTGTAAATTCACAGGATCATGGTAAATTTTCCCGCAAACCTATTCTTTATAGTGTAACTAACCAAATGTGCAACTGCCGGCAACTGCTCAACACTTGTAAGTAGTGTGCAACTGCAAGTTGTATACTTGCAAGTGTACTACGATGGAGTTGCACGTCTCGCAATTGCACACTTACAAGTGCTCTGCAGGTGCTTTTGGTTTATCAGAGTACGAGCGGA